AATTGTAGAGTATTAGTTTATTCAATTTATTTTAATTTCGAGCCGATAAAACGCATAACAACAGGGAAATGTTGCATTCTTTTCCGAAAAGGAAATAAGTAATAATTAATTTGTAACTTAGTATTAGATATTATTATCGTAATAAAACTTATACAATACAATAACTCCAAGTGTATTACCCAAAAACTCGGATCTACAAAGCAGCAAAAATATTATTATTAATTAAATAATTTACCAATTTTAATAGCTTTCAGAACCTTTATACTGTTATAGTATTACATTATTTAACATATCGTATCAAAATTTAACCAGAATAATATAAACCAGTACCTAAGATGATATGTTATTAAAAGATGACCAAAGTGATAGTTTTTAGAAATAATAATAACCGACATGCTAACACGAAGAAGGTGAAAGTGAAAAGTAGCTGGATCAGTTTTATCAACAACTGGTTTTATAATACAAGTGTAGTATTGTCCGTTACTAGTAAAGGTTAAAATGATGATGATGATAATGTTAATAAGAATATAATTTCTTTTTTTTTTTGTTTTTATAAAGCAAAAAATTGTCTGCTTAGTGAACTTGATTTTAATGTTAACGCGAAATTTTATTCTTGATGGCTGTTTAAAGTCACGTAGAATAACAACTCCGATTGATAAACATAATTAATGAATATCATACATAAATATTATCTCCAAAATCCAAAGAAATTACTTTTACATCATTTATAAAAATACTATTCTGCTATCTAGGATATATTTGTAATAATTATTTATTACCCGGAATCCAAAGGCACGTCCATCTTCGATTATAGAAATATATTATTGTTTATAATTTATCCACAATTCTATTAAAATATTTATTAAATTATTAATTGGTATAAATAATCAAGTATATAGTATAATAAATAACATAAATAATATATATTTATAAATCTATTTAAATTGAAATTTTAGCCATCTAATAGATGCCTTTTTAAATTAACAGGCTCGTCCATAAAGCCATTCTAGATATACTTGAAAGTTTGAATTGGTATCCTTACATCTTGTTTTTCGGTCATTGTTGATAGAAGAATATATAAAGATAAAAGAGAGAAATAAGAGAAAAGAATATAAGAGAGAGTTATATAAACGTGTAAATATATGAAAAAAGAAGTTTTAATTATGAAATCAATTAAATTAATTTAATATACTCTTTGTAAACCTAAAGAGTCTTTTCCAGCTCCCATCGCGTGTACACAATTTACTTATTGAGTCACAATTAAATCTTTAATATTTGCCGTCTCTTCATTTAACTATATGGAAGCAATATCCGAGATAGTGTTCTATTAATGAATCAATATATTTGAGTAAATTGATTAAACATAAATATTTTTTAAAAAAATTTCAATAATAATAAGGTTGAAATAAACTAACAAAGATCAATTTTTTTGATTTTAATCTCCCACTTGTATAAAATCCACGAGATATGAATTCCATAAATCATGGAAAGTGGGATCATGACTAAAAGCTAATTTGTATACTTGTTCTAGTGGATTAATCAATACTATGAGGGAAAAGTTCCGTTGCTTTTAGGATTGTTTCTTGATACTTCAGGTTCATTCCTTACTAAAATACAGTCAATCTACTCGCATAACGTTTATAGTGAAACCATATTTGTATGAAAGTCTATTTGATAATAGTCTTGCCAAATAATTTCACTGTTAAAAAAAAAAAAGAAACGAAAATTGAAAATTGATAAAAACCAATAATAAATTCTTCAAATAATTAAATAATATAATTACCAATGTTTCTCGCGGTGTTTGTGCATTGATCATCCGAGAAACTCGGTAAACAAATATAATAGTTCTTTGCTATCCAACTTCACAATGATTTTTCGGTATTCTTCAACAGTTTTTTCATGAACAAAATGTGTCTTTCAACAAAAAATGATCTGTTTATATATCATTTCTAAAGCCTTTTGTAATACAATACTATACAAAATAATAATAATGATGATGATAAATAAAGCGTATCAAGATATTGATAACAAATATCAGTGGATTCTTTTCGAAAACTTAAATCATTTGGAATACCTTTAAAAAAAATTAATTTGGTGAATTTTAAATGAATGCACAATATACTGTATATATAATATATTTTTACCTTTTATAGCATTTGAGAACACAATCTTTACTATGATTCCTCGCATCAATTTATTATTCATTCCATCATCATCATCATCACCATCATGATTATTAATAATTTCTTCATCAATTATTATTGGAATTATTTCATTATATTGAATAATCAGAATAATTATTATTCTCTTCTATCATCGAATCATCTCGACTTTTCATTTATTGGATTTAATGAAATTATTGCAAGGCAAGCTTTAATCTTATTAACATATGATGACTCCTATTTAAAATATTCCTTCCGATTGAAATGGAAATCATCCGTAAACCGTGTTGCATCAATGCTAATTATATATAAAGTTATATATAATGATCTAAGGATCGTAATATTTTAAATTAAAGTATGTTAATATACAGTCAACCCTCAATACAACGAATTTTAACATAACGAATTTCTTGACATAACGGCCCCAATTTTTTCATAATAAAAAAAAATTTGACATAACGAATTTACTTAAGAAATTATTCTATAACGTAACTAGATGAACATGTATATTAAATGGCACCTCAATAATGAATTTTTTTTTTTCAGTATAACGAACGAAGCTGAAATATACAACGAATTTTAAAAAAATTAAAAATATTCGTTGAAAGTTGCACGCTCTTTATTTTAGAGATAACGAATTTTGAAAATTTTAATATTCGTTATATACGTATACGCACTATATTTTTATGAATTATATAATTAATCTGTGTTATAGTTTTCTTATAACGAAGGCCCAATTGGCCCGACCACTTACTTCGTTAGTCAAAGGGTCGACTGTAATCTTTAAAAAATAAATATATTTGGCAATTCTATTGAAAACAAATGATGACTCAGATTTTATGGAATTACAAAATAACTATAACTTGTTTATTCTATTATTTAAAATTCTGTGTAATATTTTTTTATGCACATGCTAAGTTGACAAATCTCGGTCATGTCCGAGGTAAAAAAATCTTATTATGTAAGTGTGGTAACTCAATAGGCTTAATAGAATTATGTCCAATCATTTATGTAAATTCCAATACATTTAAAATAATCCCCACCTTACGTACTATAAACGAACAGAAAATGCCTGAAATATGCCCAGAATGCAACCTAAAATATAATGGTTATTGGTGCAAACCGTGCAACTCAACACATTTGAAAAATGATTTTGATAAATGGACAAGTGGAAATGCCACAATAGATAAATTTATTCAAGGTGCTCAACTAAATGCTGATTATTTTAAAGTAATAGAATGGATACCTTATGATAGATTTCAAGATATTAAAAGAATAGCAAAAGGTGGTTATGGTACTATTTATTATGCTATGTGGGTTGATGGATTTATTAGTGGCCGGGATTTTAAAAATCAACAATGGAAAAGATATGGTCAACTTGAAGTTGCATTAAAAAAGTTTGATGATATTGTGGATATAAATGAAGATTTTTTAAATGAGGTAAGGTTTATTTTAAATTAATAAGAAAATTTATTTTGAAAATATATATTTAAATTAAAAATATGATATTTAGATGGCAATTCTCTTGAAAACAAATATTGGTTTTTTTTCAACTAGATTTTATGGAATTACAAAAGATCCAGAAACTCACAAATATGTAATGGTTTTAGAATATTTTAAAGGTGGAAATCTTAGAAATTATTTAAATAAGAATTTTAATAGTATCGATTGGAATAGTAAAATATCACACTTATTCAATTTAACTAGTAATTTTTCAAGAATTCATAAATTAGATATAGTTCATCGTGATTTTCATCCTGGAAATATTTTAAAATTTATTTCGGGAGGATATAGTACAAATATATCAGATTTTGGATTGAGTAAATTAATTACAGAAAACATAAAAAATTCCCAAAAGAATATTATTTCCGGAGTATTACCCTATATAGCTCCCGAAGTATTGAGTGGGGGAGAATATACAAAGGCTGCCGATGTTTATTCATTTGCATTTGTTGCTTATGAAATAATTACTGGAATTCCCCCATATCACGATGTGTCGCATGATAAAGATTTGGCTTTTAAAATATGTAATGGATTTCGTCCAAAAATTCCATTTCACATGCCTAAATTAATTACACAAATAATTATGCGATGCTGGGATGCTCGAATTACACATCGACCCACTTTTGAAGAATTACATAGAAAGTTGAATAAATACTGTGATGATTATTATAATGAAAATAGCGAAATTGCAATTCAAATTAAAGAAGCTGAAGAATTTTCCAAAAATCAAACAACTGATACAGCAATTACAACAACTCCAACTAATTATAAAACACATCCACAAGCAATTTATACCAGTAGACTTCTCAATTTTTCAAATCTTCCAAAACCTGAAAATGATGAAAATTTTGAAAAAAAACTTGAAGAATTAACAGCATCTTTTTATCGAATAAATGATAGTAAGTACCAATTATATATTAATTCTTCAATTAATATTTATATTTAATTTAATTTATTTTTATTTTTATTTTTTAATTAGGTGATGATGATGATCTTTTATAATTTGATTTAACATTATATAGTTTTTATTTGTATTTTGTTTATTAAATTATTAAGCAATATTTGATTTATAAAATCTTAACACCATTTATATCTTATCTTAGTCCGCAATCTTTAAATCTTGAATGATTTAAAATTTGTATATATTCTTCTTTTACAATTATTACAGAACAGATAAGTAATTTTGTTATAATAAAATGTATTAATGATAATAATTCAAAAAGAAAATATGCACCTGTAAATTTTTCATGGAAAATATAATTTTTTTGTCAATTAATCTACGTAGTAGTGTAATTTTATTTTAATTTCTCCAAAGTCTTCCCCAAATGTTAAAAGATGCCGAAAGGAAATAAGTAATAATTATTTCATTAATTTTTCGATTAATGCAAAAGATTATTTTATAATAATATTTATTTCTGACAATCAATTTATTACATTTTACACATAATGATCATTATCATAGTTATCATCATCATTTACACAGTAGTAAAGCTTATACAGTATAATAATAATAATAATCTCGAGACGTAAGGTCATCAATCCATTTTTTGTTTTCTCAAGTGCATTACCTAAAAACTCAAATCTACGGAGTAACAGAAATATTATCATTAATTAATTAATTTAACAATTTAATACCTCCAGAACCTTTATAGTTATCTGACATTATTTAACATATCATATCGAAATTTAACCAGAACAATATAAACTAGTACCCAAGATGGCACGCTACTAACAGTTGACCGAAGAGATATTACTAGAAGTAATAATAAATAGGTTTAGAAATATTAATAACGAAATACTAATACCGGAGTGAAAGTGCTGGATTAGTTTTGCCGACGACTGGTTTATAATACAAAGTATAGTGTTATCTTTTACTAGTAAAGATTGGAATGTTGATGAAGATAATGTTAATAGGAAAATAATTTCTTTTCTTTATTTTTTTTTTTATAAGGCAAAAAATTGTTGACTTAATGAACATAATTTTAACGTGAAATTTTATTTTGATGACCTGTTTTCTAGAAAATTCATAAAATTTTAGTCGTGAAGATCAAAACTCTGATTGATAAATAATTAAGGAATATCATACATAAATATTATTTCCAAAATCCAAGGAAATTACCTTTTACATCATTTATAAAAATCTTATTTTGCTATTTAGGATGTATTTTTAATAGTTGTTTACTTCCTCCGAATCAAGAAGAGGATGATGATAATGTTAATTCACGAAACCTTCTTTTAAATTCTTCTGGACCTGATAAAACTTTTAAGGCAAGTTCGTACAAAACGGTCTCTCGATTTTCATCTTCGATTATAGAAATGTATTGTGCTTAATATAAATAAAGGCATCTCTTATATGATATGAGTCTATCCACAATTCTATTAAAATAAAATAAATAATTAATTGGTATAAGTAGTCAAATACTGTATATAGTAATTAAATAATATGTATATATAATATATATATTTATCAATCTATTTAAATTGAAATTTTTTCATACCAATAGATGCCTTTTAAAATTTGACAGTCTTGTTCATAAAGCCATTCTAAATGCACTTTGACATTGGAAGTTTGTATTGGTATCCTTGCTTCTGTTTTTCGATTATGATGCAAGTTTGGTAAAAGGCCAAGGAGGGAATCATTGTCTATATTATAAAGAAAGAACAAGAAATAAGAGAGATATAAATTAACATGTAAATATATGAAAAAAAGTTTCAATTAAGAAAGTATTTTGAATTAATTTCATAAATTTAATACATATTCTTTGTAGACTTGGAGAGTCTTTTCCAAGTCCCCTATTTCGTGTGCCTAATTTATATGCATAGTTGAGTCACAATTAAATCTTTAATATTTGCTGCCTCTTCATTCAACTGCATGGCGACAACCAGTATTCTAAATAAATAAATATATATTTGAAAAAGGTGAGTAAATCGATTAAACATTAGTATTCTTTAAAAAAATTTGATAATAAGATTAATATGATTGATTATATACTTAAGAAAAAAATTGTGACCTTGATTTTCTTGAAAACCAAGGAAGAGTTTCGTAATATTGGATTTGCACTGGGCCAACGATATTAAACAGAAAAATCACGATTTAAAAAAGCAGAAAATTTTATTAAACTAAATTTTTTATTTTTAAATTGTTGATCTTCCGCTTGTATAAAATTCATGAGACATATGAATTCCCTAAATCTTGGAAAGTGGGATTACTTGTTCCTACTAAAATTAATTCTTCTTAGCCACAAATAAGCAATATGGGGGAAAAGCTCTGTCGCTTTTAGAAGTGCTCCTTGAATCTGCTCGAATTTTGATTTTTCAAATTCATTCCCTACCAAAATCCAGTCAATCCATTCGAATAACATTGGTAGTGAGGACACATTTGTATGGAAAGCCCAAAAATAGTTCTTTTATAATAGTCTTGTCAAATAATTTCGCTGTCAAAAAAAAAAAAGAGACGAAAATTGAAAATTGATAAAAATAATAACAATGAATTGTTCAAATCACATAAGTGAACAATTAAATAACATGATTACCAATGTTTCGCGGAGGTTTGCACATTGATGGTCTGAGAAACTAGGCAAACAAATATAATAATTCTTTGTTACCCAACTTCCCAATGCTTTCTCGACTCTTTAACAATTTATTGTACATCAAGATCAAAAATGTGTCTTTCAACAAAAAATGATCTGGTTTCTTCTAAAGTCTTTTACAATACTATACAAATAATAATGATGATGATAAATATATCTATAAACATTGTTCCCGAAATAAATAATTTTATACTTTATAGTTGTCGGTTTACCTTGATATTCAACAACTGAAAGCGTATCATGGTATCAACGACAAATATCAATAGTTCTTTTCGAATCTTAATCATTTGGAATAGCTTTGAAAAAAAGTTAATGTGATTAATTGTACTTAAATTTAAATGAACGCACAAAATATACATATAAACTTTTCAAGAACACAATCTTTGCTATGATTTTTATTGTTCGTCCAACATTATCATCATCAACATTCATCATAATCATCATTATTATTATTACTATTTATGATTACTGTCATGACTACTACTGTATCATCAATAATTATCATTATCTATTGAGAATAATTATTATTCTCTACTATCATTGAATCGCCCGTCCTGTCTCGACTTCTTTCATTTCTTTATTGGATCTAATGAATTATTGCACGGCGAGCTTTAATCTTGTTAACATAAATAATTCTAATTTAAAATATTCCTTTCATCCGTAAGCCTCGCCTCGTTGCATCAATGCTAATCATATTATTATTATTATATACTCCCCTAGCAAAAATATTTGTGAAATGATAAAATTCGAAAACTATTGCTAAAATCAAAATGCTAATTTTTTGTCAGTTTCATTTTAAGCGTAATATCTCTATGTATAGATGTTCAATTATATAACATTATGATCTCTAACTGGTCAACTATCATAAATTTTTTTTTTAAATTAAAAAATAATCTTCCATCTTACGTACGTACTATAAGCGAACAGAAAATGCCTGAAATATGCCCAGAATGCAACCTAGGATATAAGGATTATTGGAGCAAACCGTGCAACTCAACACATTTGAAAAATGATTTTGATAAATAGATAAATGTTCAACTAAATGCTGATCATTATCGTAAATTACTAGAATGGATAGATGCCAAGATATTAAACAAATAGCAAAAGGTGGTTATGGTACTATTTATTAAGCTAAATGGATTGATGGATACATTAGAGGGTGGGATATTGAAGATCAACAATGGAAAAGATGGGGTCAATATGGAGTGGCATTAAAAAAGTTTGATGGAATTGTCGATATAAATGATGATTTTTTAAATGAGGTAAAGTAATATTTTAAATTAATAAGTGAAAATATATAATATATTAATTTAAAAAATATATCATTTAGATGGCAATTCTCTTGAAAACAAATAGCTACTTGGAATCAACTACCCTTTATGAAATTACAAAAGATCCAAAAAACTCACGAATATATTACGGTTTTACAATATTTCAGAGGTGGAAATCTTAGAAATTATTTAATAAAAATTTTAATAATATCGATCGGAGTACTTTTTAAAATCATTAGCTAATGATTTTGCAAAAATTCATGAATTAGATATAGTTCATCGTGATTTTCATCCTGGAAATAATTTAAAATATAGTTTGGAAGGCAGGCTTATAAAGGTATCAGATTTTGGACTGAGTAAATTAGTTACAGAAAGCATAAAAAATTCTCAAAAGGATCATATTTGTGGAGTGTTACCCTATATGGCTCCTGATATATTAATTGGGAGAGAATATAAATAAGCTTCAGATGTCTATTCATTTGCATTTGTTACCTATGAAATAATTACTGGAATTTCCCCATATCACAATGTGCTGCATGATAAAGATTTAGCTTTTAAATTATGTAATGGATTTCGTCCAAAAATTCCATTTCACACACCTAAATTAATTTCACAAATGATCATGCGATGCTGATGCTGGGATACACATCGACCCACTTTTGAAAAATTCTTCGAATATCGCAGCTTCCTTTTATGCCTTTACAAATAATTAATAATGATGAAATATAAATTCTTAATTTAAATTCTTGTCTTTATAATATAATTTACCTAAACGATTCTTTCTCTTTTTATGTAATTTCGTCAAATTCATTTCATATTCAATATATTTTAAAAAATCTTTTTACTTGAGTTGGTAATACGTATTCAAAATTTGATTTTTTTTTTTTATAATATCTTTTATTTCTTTCTAAATATTCACATATATTTTTACTAATTTATTATTAACTGAGTGGCTTGGAATTAAAATTGTGCTAATTGTGTTGAAATTCTGGGAGTTTTATATCATACCTTCGTAAATGTACCTTCTTTTGAGTTTAAGTACCATTTTTGATATTAAATTTGACGAGATGTTAATTGTAAATTATAAAAATTATAATGCTGTGAGGGATCAATATCCTGCAACAGATGTGGGTATGTTCTTTCGTGGTCCAAACCTTTAGGTAACAATTTCATGAAAAATATAATTTGTGGAGCCAAGGATTTGATGATGGCTCCAGATTTTTCTATGGAAAAGGTTGATATGAATTTTATATTATTTCTTTTTGCTTTATAATTAGCATTTTATATCATCTCATTATTTTCTCTCTCTATTTATCTCTTCCTTAATTGATGTTATAGAAATTTTCTAAATTATACCTTTGCATAGAAAGCATTAAACAATTGGAAAATTTATCAATATTAAATATGTAATTTTAAATCAATTTATAATTTATTTATTTTCTTTGTTTTTTTTCAAATTACTTATTTTCAAAGTTCATTGTTAAAATTGATCAAAAAATAACTTATATAGAAAGTTATAAAAATAAATACAGTAATAAACTAATTATTTAAAAAAGTTTATATATTGTATACAGCATATATATATATGCATCTGCAGTATATTCAGATATCTAAATCTGCAAGAGTTGTGCCATTACATCCACAATTCTCTTTTCTCGGATCAACAAAAAAGATAATACCTCTATCATTTGGTGTTTCCAATTTATTATAAAGAAATTCTGATAATTTTTTTGATGTTTCTTTATTACGTTCTAAATCAATTCCAAAAATACTTGTAAATCTAACAATATAAGCAGGAGCATCGGTGCCACAAAAATAAAGAGATTTACAATCTTCGATAGTGGCTAAAGAGGATACAGGTCGATTAAGAATATCTGCGACTAGAGTATTTAGTTCTGAAAGGAATTCATAATGGTTTGGAATCTTTTTATTATTAATGTATGTAAGTTATAATTTTCAATTTTCTGAAAAGAATTTACGTTTTGTTAATAAAAAAATATCATATGTATACCTTGACATTTGTTTTTACTTCGACAACTGGCATTTTGATATTGTTGAGAAAGAGTCAAAAATTAAGGGCTTATAAATAAATTTCATTCTCATCATCTAAATGAATTTCTCATTATAACAATAAAAATGATTTATTTCATTATAACAATAAAAATAATTCATTTCATTACTCGATGACCCGTTTTGTTTAAATATTGACACAAAAGTTTCACCATGCAAATTTGACCTTTTATTCATTATAACAATAAAAATGATTATGATTTATTCTCTGGATTTTAGCTCTAATTTAGTTGGTTCTTTATAAAAATAAAATCTTTGTCCAAATTTTTATTTTCATGATTTATTCTTGACATTAATAGAACCATTTCTTTTCCACCACACATTAGTTGATAGACAACACCCCTTTATGTATCAGATCGTCAGTTTTCGTTTGGTTTTCATTTATGAAATAAAATCATTT